CTTAGAGTGTGACCGGGAAGTACTCGTACGAGACCATCTCAATTCATGGTAACTGACTGTAAAAAAGGCATGTTCAAATCTTGGATTAACTTTTTGAAGACTATGTACAAATTAAAGTGTCCAGTACCTACAAGGCTAATCAGATGTCTTTATGTAGATAGTTCTGCATCAAGATTAGTTCATCACCGTTCGAGTTTCTTTGGTAGGTATTACAGCCATGAAATTACCAATAAACACAAGAAAAAAAAAAGATGAAGGACCATCAACAAGAGAACAACATTCCCATACAAGAATTAAAAGTTTTGTTTGAGGCCATTATTCCAATCTCTCGTGTGAAATACAATGACTTAGAGTCTTTAACTAAACTTCTCATCAATACTGAAGCTAAGACCTTCTACTTGATGTGGGATGGACGTGAGAGCAATGAGCATATGACGTATACTTGGACTTCATGAACGACAACGATGAGTAAAGGTAATTATTTTTCTGCACTACAACTTATATTATGGACTTTTATCTGATTTATTAGTATCAGATCAGATTATCAACATTAGTAAATATACTAAAACTCGTACTACAACTGGGTTTTATTCCAGAATAGTGCTTAAACAACCAGAGTGCTGGTGTAGGCCAAGAGAAAATTTTAATCGAACATCCATTTTTAATATTACCAACTTATATATTACCATATTACAGTTTTTTTAGGTTTTATATCACATATAACATGATGTAAAATTAAAATAAAGTTTTTCGAACAAAAATTAAAGATTATTTTTAAAGGATAAACTTTATTTCTCGTCTCCTGAAAAAATTTCCCAAATGGACTAAAACCGTTTTCCCCTTCAATTATCAGGAAGGAAAATTGCAAAATAAAGATCTTACTTTGTATCGGCAACAGTCCTACGGTACGTCAAGGAGAAAATACGACAACAGTTTATTATCTTTTAAATAATAAAGTTTGTGTCTTCGATCTAAGAAACACTTATATTTAGAAGTGGATATTACGATTTGTGCTACTGTTAAAAAGAATCAACCCATTCCGGTGGTCAAATGGCAGACGAAGTAGGCATTACTTCAAAAGCAGTTTAAAATATGTTAAAAAGCATGGATATCAGCTTTATAAGTCCCAACATAATCTACTAACAAATCAATAACAACGTGTTGTATTTTTTGAAAGCCTAAGAGAGATACTTGAACTGTGTATCCAATGTTTTCTTCATTTTTACATATTATTCACAAATGATCCTCCAGATATTTCAGAATCTCCCCAAAAAAACTAAATTTATTGTGTTACATTATTGAATTACACATGATCAGTCCATTTTTCATTAAAGAGCATTTGACTACACAGAAATACTTACTCTGGACATAGTTTTAAAATAGTACTTCTATTGATAAATCTATATTTTATCGAAAATTTTGGCAAAGAAAAACGATTTGGGGGTCACCTTGAAAAATGTCAACATTCTTTTATTCTAATCAGAATAGTGATTAAAGGTTATACGAAAAAAAAAACGTTTGGCAAATTAATCCGGTGTAATACAACTTTCATTTCAAAATATCTATAACAGCACAGAAGTTAACATAATAGGAAACATTGGAGTAAACTAATTTAACTAACTAATTTTTGTAAGCCAAGTTTTTGCTATAATTTGGCACTCTGACATTATACAAGATTAGACAATTTCCACCAAGTATACTAGGACTATCTTTGCACTTTCTATCATGATCTACAACATCTAACACCGCCCTAACTATCACAGAGGGTCACAGGGGAGCCATCCAAAAATTTAATGACCAACCAATTGTGAGATGTAGAATCAAAAGTTTTAATCCTTATAACCTAGCTAATAAGTTTTAATATTTATATTTAATTTTATGCATTTTTCTCCACGATATAAAAAGTTATCCTTAACTTGGTTTTTAAAAGGGGGCCGGAAGATTGTGTTTCCCTGCGTGTCATTACTAGTCAACACAATTTGCTAATTATACTTTTACTATGAACACTACAAATGAATTGTTAAAAAAAGATATTTGAAAGAAAACCTAAAAAAATAGAAACAATATGAAATAATTAAAAAATAAAAGGTTCTATTGTATAAGTAAACTTGATACATAAGTAAATTTAAAGACTCATGGTAAAAACGTATATAAAAAGAGAAACATAATAAATACAAGCTCCATTAAAGAAAAAATTTAAAAGGTGTATATTCCTTTAACCTTGATATCTCATTTTAGCAAAGTAGTATTCTATTTTTGACTTGAACTTGTATACTACTTATAATACTATTATTAGATTTATCAAAAAAATTTATATAAAATTTGACGCTTGAAAATAACTGCATAAAAGAAAATAAGATAATTAAACTCGTTAAATAATTTTTTTGACATTCAAAACATTCACACGTTTATGGAAGGTTTTCGCAAAACGTATCAGATCTATAATGAATTTAGTTTACAATATTAAATATGCTTAATTTTATAATTGCATGTTAGCTGGGAATACAAACATTGTATTGAAATTACAATCAAATTGTTAAAAAATGTATTAATTATATACATTTAAAAACTAGCATTTTTCGATGCTAAAGACGCTAAATAAAAAAAAAATCAAAAAGGAACTAAACAAAGTAATCTGTAAATTATTTCCTCACAAGTTCATTACTCCTCATCCTCATTACTGACATTCCTAAGTCATCAACTTACAAACAAATAAATTGAACGAACGAACGAACAAATATCGAACGCCACCATTGTCATACACGTTTGAGTTATTCAATTCTCATCAGGAACACTTATGGCTGTTCAGACTGAAATAAAATGCAATCTGGTATGGCTGTTATAGTAAAATAATCTGCTTGAGTACGTTAGCAGCGACCTCTATAAGAAGCAACAAGAAGTCATCAGACTTCTCTTCGGTAGCTTCTTCCTGATAAGAGATAAGTAACTCGAAACATGTATAGAACAATGGTGACGTTCTAATTGAAAGAAAATGCAATCGTCTATTTCATTTTAACGTCTTTTCTTTACAAAAGAGTCTCACAAAAGAACACAAAAAAATTGCAAAAGCACCTCAACAGTCATTGATATATTAATACCAGTTTATCAATTATCTGTTTCCTATTTAAAATTACTAATAAAAATTCTTCATTATAATTCAGTATTCTTTGTTGAAAAAATAATTCATCTAGAATCTCTAAAGAGATAAAATAATAGTACTAAGAGTAACAGTTACTCTTCAGTTAATTTTATTTCAGTCAGATAATGAAAATGTAAAGTTACTTTACATTTTCATTATCTCACAAGTATCTACATTCTCAACTAAAATACACGACAACGCTTGCGCAAAAAGCACAACGTCCATTTGAATGACATGCAACAGATTTACAAAGAAATGACACTAGAAACATTGGTTGATTATATCATAAATACTGATAGGCCGTTTGTTTAATCTAAAGATAAACTACATAATAGTTCAACCTAAAAAAGTTAAAAAATATGATTATAAACAAAGCACACGGTTTTTATTTGTTATTAATACCCTACTAACATTAAAACAATATACATCAGAACACTTTGGAGCTTTGGATCAATAAGAAACATATATTGGGATCCACACCATAACGGAACAAAAAATATAAGGAGTCTCAGAGTAGATTTTAGTCCTCAAGGAAACTAAGTTCCTGTAGCTGGCTGTATACCATGTATCACAAAAATTTTTTATTTCAAATCCTTTATAAAAGGTATATAATTAAAATTAAATTATTATTTTTATTATATACCTACCAAGAATTTTAAATATAGATTTTAGTATTTAAACTAACCCTACCCCGACTATGTTCGAAATTACATGGAAACGGTACTTCGGTCGTATAATCGACACGTGCAGATTTCAGTTACCATGGAACGATGAACAAAGACGCAGCTTGTCCATGATTGAGGCATACTTTAAAGCCAATAACTCTTATAGTTGCTCGGTGGCGTTTTTGTGAGCGGTATAATATTAGAGACGTGGGCGATGAACCATTCACGATGTTCGTGTACACGTGGGTGAAGCAATTTAGGGAAGACGGAGTTGTTACAAATGTGAAATATCCAGGTAAACCAAAAACTATTAGAACTATTTAAAGAACGTCGTCTACCCTAACCCACTATCCACCACTGAAGAGCTGAAGCAAAATATTCGCAATGATATTAACAACATTTTAGTGCGTATGTTGAAAGACATGCTCATAAATGTATGGACAAGTCTTTCTCAGCTTGTAAACCAGATTGCAAGAGTGCTACGAGTGAGACGGTCAACATCTAACCGACTTCTTATCCAAGAAATAAAATCCGCATGTTCTGTGTGTCTATTACATCGAGCAAAAAGATAAAAGAGGAAATGTAAAGGCAGTGGGGACAAAAATATTGTTAGACAGGAAGTGCTATCTTGAGAGGCCACTTTAAACAAGGAAATACAGTCTCTTTCCTTGTTTAAGAAGTCAAATTTAGTTTGGTTATGTTATTGTTTGTCCCAACTGTCACATGAAATTTTATTTATATTGAAGTTTTTTTACCAATTATGTCACTTTTTAGACTATTATCGTTAATATTTAACTAAAACTTTCTTATCTGAAAAATATTTTACAGGTATTGTTAACAAGTGTTGGAAAATTTAAATTTAGCGCCTTTGCATTTCCGGATATGTCCGCCATCAGAGGCCACTTTTTTGGTCTCCTTTTCATAACGATTAGATTCCCTCTTTTATCTTTTTGCTCGATGGTCTATTATAACAGGTTCTGAAACAAAGTTTTATTGATTTAAAAACTAAAATCAAATCTGAGACACCCTATAGAATATTTTTAACCTTTACACCGAACAAGCACAGAAATTAATAATAGGCCGCAACAAGTGGAGGCAGATCAGCGAAGTCAGTATAAAAACAATTAAATCGTACGCAACCGTTTCCGATTTCTAATCTCTGCTCCAAAATGTTTAGGCATTGAATTTGGCTGTTTAAAAATTAATAAAAAAGTTTATTTTTAACAACAGTACATTCATTAACAAGTTTTCATAAAAAAACTTCTAAAAACTAACGAATAAATCTTATCCATATTATTGTAACGCTCGGACGGTCGTTAACAATTGATCCATTTCGGCTTTATACGAAATCAACTGCTGCTGTCTCTCTAAACACTGCTGGCAGCTCCTGTTCGCCACTCCTTTCTGAGACAAATTGTAGATCATCGATCTGAGCCTGTACTCCCTATCGACGTATTGTTTTTCCAAATATCCGATCTATAAACATAGATGCACAAGTAAATAAGAGTTGATTCAAAATAACAAACAATAAATCAACCTACAAATTTCCGCAAAAATTACTTTTGACAAAAAATACATTGGTCCAAGATAGCGAAGAGCCGCTGAGTGCGCTGATAGTAGAAAATATAGTACAAGACGGAAATGCAAATTTTTATCAAATTCATTAACATTATTGTCAAATCTTGTCGATAGTTTGTTGGACAATCACCATTTTATTTACAACGAGAATCTAATTTCTAGTAACTCATTCTTGTTTTTTTCTGGACTTTTAACTTTCAATTAACAAAATACGTTGAAGAAAAGCAGGGAATGACAAATGAAAGACAACTGAAAAATGAGAAAAAAATCGGTCCCCTACCGAATTGTCTTTATTCCTATCTTTTCTGCAAGTTACTGTTTTTCTGATATAAAAATTGTTAAAAAACTACCTAACTTTTAGCGGCATCGCGCGTGTTTAAGCTGTTAGGGGTATATCAATTTCGATGGCTTCACGGATAATTCTTGATTTAAGAAACGGATAGGGGCGATGGTTTTTGCTTTTTCAAAATATATTTTGTGACCTATCTGAATATTATGTTGGGCTATGGTTGAAGTAGTATCGGAATGTTTTACAGATATAGAATGTTCGTAAATACGTGGATTCGTCGGTTTGCCTGCCCTATGTATCTTCGGAACTGGAACTTCAACTGGGACAAGGTATCTTGTAGACACCATGGTCTTTCTTGGTAATTTGGTTCTTATGGATCTGACAAGATTGGACAACTTGGAGTAAGTAGTGAAGATGATTTTGATTTTTAGAGGGTTAAGAGTTCTACTGATCTTGTCTTTGATAAAAGGTAGAAATATTTTGGGTTGATCAGGCGGCAAAGTTTCTTTTTTGGATAGAATAGAGTGTAAATGTTTTTGAATGCTCCTATTGAATTGGGTTTTGTGGTAGCCGTTTTGTAAGAATACTTGCTTTATTGAATTAATTTAGGATTATCTGTGATTGACATCGCCAAGTCTTATGGAACGGGAAATAAGAGTGTTAATAACTGGAATGAGTTGGGCGGGGTGATAATGTGGCTGGACATTAAGATAACAGTCTGTATGGGTAGGTTTCCGGTACACGGAATAGGAGAAACTGCGAGGTGGGTGTCTCTGAATAAGAACATAAGGAAATGACAGAGACGCTTTAGACTCAACTTTTTGAAATATTAAACCAGGAATATTTCAAAATATTTTTATTCCATTCTCAAGGAATAAGAAGTGAGATTGTTTACAATTATGTTTAAATCGTAAATATTAAATACATAAATATGAATACTATTAAAACTAAAATTTTGATTAATGTAATAGTTGACAACGTAAATTATCGTATTCTGATTCATTGTCAAACAGTTCTGATTCACTCTCACTGGTATATTCTTGAATGTTGTTTATATAACCTTGCACCTGGTCCATAATATACTTTATTTCCATATATTCTCAATCTTCTCTTCTTCTTCCTCTTTATAAGCGATTCTGTTTGTTCATTGGCGGATTAATACCTCTATGGAAGGTTGTCACTTCAACTTTTGCACGGTCCTGTGATACTTCATCTGCCGATTGGTGACATCTCTTGCTATTTTGACGACACGGGTTTCCTCCATTCTGCTTATGTGGATATTCCATCCTTTTTTGTATTTTGTGCCTATTCATTTATACACTGTACACATTTTCTTCTAATGACTTCACTACTCTTTCGATCTCTGAGCGTATTTCTTGTAATTCTTCTAAGTACTCTCATCTATGCCGTTTCCAGTAGACTTTGCGTTGTGACTGTGTCGTGTCTTGTTTCTGAAGCATATGTCATTATTGGTCTCACACTGGCTTTATAAATTCTCTACTTCATCTTGGTGTTAATGTGTCTGTTTCGACATAAAGTTTTATTAAGGTATCCTGCCAGTCTATTTGCTTTTTGTACTTGATCTCTCACTTCTTTGTCCAGGTCTCCATAGTGTAATTCCGAGGTATTTTATTTCCATTACTTGTTCAATACTGATGCCATCAATTTCTATTTTACATCTGGTTGGATCTCTGCTGACTACTATTGTTTTAGGTGAGATTAGATTGTTATATTAAATTCTTTTGCTCTTATGTTAAATCTGTGGACCAGTCTTTGCAGACTACCTTTATCTTGGGCTATCAATATTGCGTCGTCTGCGTAACAAAGTATTTTTATTTCTTTGTTTCCCATTCTGTATCCTCTTCCTTTGTTAACGCTTTTGATGATTTCATCCATGATCAAATTGACGAGCATGGGGCTCAATGAATAAACTTGTCTTATTACGCTACCTATTTCTATAGGTTCTGTAAGTTGTCCATGTATTCTGACTTCCATTTTGTTGTTTTGGTAGATGTTTTCGATAGTTTTTATAATATTTAGGGGAAATTTAGAGAAATTTTAAACTGCTGCGTGTCTTTTTGTTTTCTGTACACCGAGCTTGGGATCGAACTCACATCACTCGCATTGAAGCGAATGAGAAACCGGCAGCCCAGCCCACTTGGCTATCTGACCGACACGTCAATCTTCATTATAATAGCTTCAAATATCCTTTTCATGGTAGGTCTTCTGTTATAAATAGCTGTATATGAGTAAATTATTGTTTTAATATTTCTTCTTCAAATTCACCAACTGATTGCTTGGGAGTAAATGGTTTATTTATGGTTTTTCTCGGTAACTTAAACGAAGTTCTTAGCTTTAGAAATTATGCTTTTCCCAGTAGTGATACCAACTCCACAACCTTTAGCTACTCTCTCTTGTAGATTGCTTAGAGGAATTGTTACAACTTTTTGTCCTTTCTCTGTTTGCATAAATTTAGAAACATAAATAATGTCTCGACGTTGACTGTAAATTACTTGTTTGATCATGTTTGCAGACTGGTATCTATATCAACGGGATTAAAAAATTATTGTTAAACACTCTTTGAGTTTTGTACAATCGCGGTAATATATATTGTATAACGGTTTAAATGCGGCGACATTTAATGTCGTCCATTATGATGATTATAGTACGTTATAAGATTGGTTTGAAAACTCGCTGATCCCTAACTTGGAGTTTGGGATCACCCACAACTAGTGTAATCGTGCTTGGTAACGCTTCCTGTCATTCCGGCAGCTCACTAAGATACCAAATACATCTTCGAAGAAAGCTGAACTGCAAAGCTTTTTAATGGAAAATGGTTTGTATTTTATAAAAAACCAACTTATTGAAGTTCTACCCAAGAAGCAATTTGGCAAATTTTATCCACCCTAGAGAGTATTGCCGAAAAGCATGGACACATTATATTAAGACTTCCCCCCTATTTTCGTGTGGTGTTCAATCCTACAGAGTTAATTTGTGCATTAAGGCGTGCAACTACATTTCCTAAGTTTGATAAAAAGGTAATTGAGGTAATTAAAAAGGAAGAATCTAGTATTACCAAAGAATACTGACAGAAAAGAATTGCCAAAGTGATCAAAGTTGAAGAATACTATAAGAAGGTTGGGCACTTCCACATGAATGGTGGAAATAAATTAATTATTGAATTGAATTATCATAGTGACGCAAAGAATACGGAAGGATATTGGGATAAATAGAATAAATAGATAAATAAAAGATTGAGAACTGTTAGAAACAATATAAAATATACTTATTTTAAATATCTCCAAAATCCTTGTGGCATTTACAAATTTTAAGGAAAAATAATAACATGGAAAGTTAAAGCCACATTTAAAAATAAAGAATGGATAAAAAAGCGTGAGGAGTGCCGACAGAAGTGAATACTTCTTATAGCGTGTTATTTCTAGGTGTTATTTGTGTAACTTAATGGAATTTTATGTTTGCTTATTATTTATATATTAATATTTTTTATAATAAAACTACACATTTGAGTTTTTTTTTTTAAATTTTAAAAATCTTATCGTCTTTCTTTAAAAATTTTGTTTATTAATTTTAGTAATTTTCAAAAGCCTACCGTTAGAAGTTTGCGGAATTAACTTCCGCATGATTTTCCATGTTTCGCGCATAGGCAATTATTCGCGTGTCGGATAACCGTCACCGTTGTATATTTATTTAACGCAAAAAATCAAATTTTATATCAGAAAGTATTAAATTGATAAAACTTTTTTCATGCATGTTTGAGTGTTTTTTTTTATTTTCTCTTAATTTTTAGACACATTATTTAATTCTAAGGCGGTAAAAAGTTCGCCGGGTCAGCTAATTTTTTAATAATTTTTATTAGTTATTATTTCATTTCCGCTTTTATTTGAACTTTACGATCAAATTAACTAACTTAAAGAGAGAACACGGTTTTTTGCCAATAAGCTAACTTGAAACGAACATACAATTTGACTGTACTCTATACCACTTCCGTATGTACGTGGACAATGTCGATCATTCATTTTAACTTCCGTAAGTATATAAAAGACTCAATCTAGGTACCGCTCATTCAACTAGATCAACCAAGTAGAACTAAGAATCAACTTATCCAGTAAACAGATGGAAGAAAAACTATTCGTCAATACTGAACAGTCTGAAGAATTTCCTTTCAATTTAATATAAGATATCATAATTTGTGCAGAACAATAGAACCATAACAGAAATATGGCTTTAAATGATAGCAACTAAAGTATAACACAGTTTTAAATTCACAAACCTTCTGGAGTAAGGGAGGCACCTCCACGGCATCCTCGGTGCCGTTCATTCCATTTTTGGATAAACTCATTAAACGATTACTGAGATGATCTCTTTCTACTCGAACAATTGTCAGTTCTTCTCTGGCAGAAGTGAGTTGAGATTGAAGAGATGATAAAGATATCTGATGGATTTCCAGTTGTTCTCTTAAAGGATTCACGTTGGCCATGTAGTTGGCAACTTCTTGCTCATGAGCTTCCTGAAGAGCAGTGAGCTAGAACACGTTAAAAATCATCTATATATAATATATCATTTTTTTAGATCTAAAATAAAATTAAATAAAAGAAAAACTTACATCTTGTATTCGCTTGTTCTGCAGAATTTGAAAATCCTCTTCCAACTTGCTTAACTGAAGTTTGAGTTTGTCTCGCTCGCATTTTAACTGCAGTACCGTTTCTTCTTTCCGAAAATCCTTCTCAGAACTACAACTATTCGATCTAGCCTGTAACGTTAGTCTCTCAGGATAACCCTTCGACTCTTTTTTATCGATTAAGTTTTTTAAACTACCTTCACGTTCTTTTTGTAGTCGTCTATTGGTTTTCTTCAAGTCATCAATTTCTTTTTGAAGTCTATGTATCACCTTCTCTTTATTTGAGAGATCCGCCTGCAGACCTCTAATTGTTGCTAGGAGGTGAGTATCTTCATTTTTTCTCGACGTTGAATGCTTTTGAGGCTTGCTTACTATAGGTGGCGGAGTTGGAGCGGGAGTATTTGGTACACTTTGAGTAGGATCAGTCTGTGTGAAAGTTGTAAAAGTCTCCTTTTGAGGAATTTTATCATCTATGGTTGTTTGGGTGTAAACATCGTAAGTATCACCACGACGTTTAAGTTGATTTTTTAGATCACTGACATGCAACTCTAAGTCTTCTATATGGTTCTCGTATTTGGCCTTCATTTGGTTGAACTTTTCTTGAATGTCCATAAAAACTTTGGAAGACTGGGTTTCTCTTGTGATCTGCTCCTGTTCTAAAGACTTGATTCTATCTTCTAGAATCTTTCTTGCAGTTAAATTTGTATCTGTGGCATTTTCTTTGGCAGCTACTATTAAGGCCGATACGGAATCAGGATGTTTTCGAGCTATTATCCGTTCCATTTCTTTTATCTGCCTATTCAAGTCTTGGATACACTTGGCATCTTTCTCGTGCTGTATTTTAAAACTCTTACTTTGAAGTTTCTCCATTTCTAATAACTTATTTAAATTTATTTCATTCTCTATTAATTTATCTTTCGTTTGTTGCAGTTGTAGTATCTCACTTTTATATTTGTCTAAACTAGAATCTATTTCTACAAGTCGTCGTTGAAGGCTGCTATTAGAAATCAATAAATCGTCATAAGAACTCTTCAGAAGTTGGTGGCTTTTGTTTATAGTGTCTAATTGAAGTTGTAAGGCTGTATTTATCTCTTTCGAGTCTTTTAGGTTTTCCAGCGCCTTTTCCAGTTCCAAGTTCATTTCTGGAGATGATAATGTTTTGGAGGTTAGAGCCGCTTTCGTTTGTTCTAATGACATTTGAGTGCGTTGCAATTCTAACTGAAATAAAAAATAAAATTATGACTTTTCATAAAGAAAATATAAAAATTAGAAACTATATAAGTCTTAAGAGTAACAGTAAAAATAACACTGATTTGGATTAATCAAAGAGAGGGCGTAGCGTAAATGGATCCAAGTGATGCATCGCATATCTTTAAGATTTAGTGTTAAAATTTAATAATTATATTATTTACTGTCATATGACCCTAAAATACCATCTGTATACTGTGAATCGATCAATGTGTTACTGATCACTATCTTTATTACAGGGTTGGAATAAAGGATGGAACCAAGTAAATATCTTTGAGACAAAAAAAACGGACGACACTAAAAGCAGTAAAAAGTCTACAGAAAAAAATGTATAACCCATATGAACAGCTAATAGTGTAAGACAGACCGATAGTCCAAAAAACAGCGACGGCCAGAGCCGCAATAAGGGGAACTGACAGGAAGAACAAAAAAAATTATCAATGACAACCAAATTAAGAAATAAACAACATGATTCAGGCCGGCAACAGATGTATTTTTGCCCTCCAAAACCTTATAAAATCAAAACAACTAACACGACGTACGAAGATACAGGTCTATAAAACAATCATACGACCCGTTGTGATGTATGGAAGCGAAACGTGGACGATAACAAAGGCAAATGAAGAGAGACTACGTGTTTGGGAAAGAAAAATCCTAAGGAAGATGGTCCGGTGCTTGATGAAGCATCAGGACAATATAGGATAAGAACTAATAAAGAGCTTGAAGAACTTTACACAGACGCCAACATCATTAAAAGAAATAAAGTCCAGAAGACTCCAATGGGCAGGACACCTCAGAAGACATTCTGACGAACGAACAGTAAGACTGGTGTGGGAGGAAGTCCCAACTGGAAGGAGACCACGCGGACGCCCTCGTCTCCGGTGGCGAGATAATATACCAGGAGACCTAAGCACTATGGGCGTGGAGAATTGGATGGAGGTTGCTCAAGACAGAAAACAGTGGAGGCATATTGTCGAGTCGGCTAAAACCCACGAAGGGTTGTAACGCCACGGATTAAGTAAGTAAGTAAGTAACCAAATTAAATTAAGATCGCCTTGAGAAATAATCAAAACGATCGGAAATATCTACCAAAATAACACAATAAAAGTAAAAGTAGAAGAAGAACTAACCAACCATATTGAAGCTGCCAATAGGATAAGACAGGGAGATTCCCTGAGTCCTCTATTGTTCAACCTAATTATGAAATAATAAAAAAAGTAAGAACTAAAAAAAGATGTAAAATGGGATAAAACTAACTTAAAAGAATCTGCTATGCAGATGACGCAATACTACTCTCTCAAAGTGAAGATGATTTACAACGTATGCTGCACCAATTTCATATCTTCTTCTTTGAGTACCGTGCCCAAGTTTTAGGCGTGAGTAGCTTCCATGACGATTTGCCGATATCGTTCTCGATCTTGAACGGCACGTAATAATTCATCTGCTGATAATCCTGTCCATTGACGAAGGTTTCGGAGCCATGAGTATTTCTTTCTACCAATTCCTCTTCTTCCGTCGATCTATCCGTTGAGTATCAACTGCATTATCCTGTCTCTACTTCCTCTCATTATATGCCCCAGATATTCGAGTTTTCTCTTTTTTGTCATCTTTATTAAGTCACCTTCACCTTGACCTACTCTGTTGAAGACTTCTCTGTTTGAAATGTGTTGAACCCAATTTCAATTCAATTTCATATAACCGCCAGAAAATTAATTTAATTTAAATTTAATTTCCCCAAAAAAGACAAAATGCAAGATTATAACAGCAAATTTACTAAGATGTAAATTGGAGCTGGAAGGTCAGATAATAGAACAAATGATGGAGGTTAAATATCTAGACATCACATCATCTAGCTACGGAAAGCTCAAAACTAAAGTGGACGATCAAAAAATATCGGGAAAGAAATGAAAGGCAGAATTTACAAAACAGTCATCAGATCAATAATGATACACTGGCACAAACACGACCTGACACAGAGAGGAAAAAAAGGATGTTAGAAACAGAGATGACATCGCCTGAATCAAAATTGATGATAAGACACTATGGACGAACGACGAACTGTAGGAAGACCACGAAAACGACGGAACGATAACTTACTGGAGGTACATTGAAAAAAAAAACAGAGTCATGTCTACAGGCAGAGATAGCTTTCAGGCATCATCTTCTTGTAGTGTCTATCCATTTCGGATGTTGGCGACCATCATGGCAATCTGTATTTTGCAAACTGCGGCTCTGAAAAGATTTGTGGTTTTTGTGTTGAACCACGTACGCAGAGTTTTCAGCCAGGAAATTCTTCGCCTTCCTGGTCCTCGTTTTCCTTCTACTTTTCCTTGAAGAAATAATTGCAGCAATCCATCCTTTTTGCTGTTCCTCACGAGGATGACCGTGTTTCCTCACTATGACCGAGGTGTTCAATTGTGGCTATTTTTATTGTGGTTAACAACTCTTTTCTCAACTCCATACAATAGTATAGGAAAGATATAACATCATAGTAATCTGATTTTTATGGTTACTGAGAAATCGTGGCATTTGAATAGCTTGGCCATTTTTTAAGATGCAGATCTTGCTTTCTTTATCCTAAATTTTATTTCTCAGGAATGGTCCCAATTTTCATTGACGTTCGTACCAAGGTAGGTGCATGTTTTTGCCCTTTCTATTAGTTGACCATGATTCTTTCTATTTGCTGTTCCTTAGACATCATCATACATTTTGTTTTCTTAATATTCAGTGAAAGCCCATATCTCTGATTCACTTCTGTGATTCTATTCATTAACTCCTGGAGGGATTCATAACTGTCAGCGAATACCACCGTGTCATCCGCGTATCTGATGTTATTGATACATTCTCCGTTAATTCGAATTCCGGCTTCAAAATCTACTGCTTCTTGAAAGATTTCCTCGGAGTATAGATTAAACAGTAGTAACGGTGATAGTATGCATCCCTGTTGAACCCATGCTTGATTTTGATATCATCGGATTCTCCTGCGTCTGTACGGATAGACGATGTTTGATTCCAGTCAAGATTGCTAATAATTCTTAGATCACCGGTGGTTATTCCAATATTTGTTAATATATCCATCAGCTTGTTCTGTTTTACTGTATCAAATGCGTTATGGTAATCAATGAAGCATTCATAAACATTGCAATTCACATATCTACATCGTTGAAATAGCACTTGTATGCTAAAGAGAGCCTCTCTCGTACCCATTGCGTTCCGAAAACCAAATTGTGTACGGCTGACTTTTTCTTCTCATAGTCTATATATGCTTTGATGTATGATTTTTAGAAATAACTTTAAAATGTGCCTCATCAAGCTATTGGTCCGGATATCATTGCAGGATACGGATTTTGTTTTCTTTGGTAGATCAATAAACGTTGACTTCAGCCACGATCTTGGTATTACTCCGTTTAAATAATTGCAATTGAATATTTTTGTTAGTCGTTGAGTAACGTTGGTGTTAAATAGCTTTATGAGTTCAGCATATGCTTTGCCAGGTCTTGAGCTTTGCCATCTTTTAGTTGTGATATTGCTTTTTCCACTTAATCTGATGTGATTGGTAAGTGGTCATTACATAAGGACGGAGGTTGTTCGGACCTATTATCATCAAAGAGTTGTTGTATGTTTTTGGCCCATATGTATATTTCTTGATTGTTTTTCTTGATCAGGCATCATACTTTGAAAAAAAAATCATGTTATGAGTTCAGATCCGGGCATCATAGAAAAGAGCAAGAGTGGACCCACACACTCGAGGACCGAGTTGCCAAATTCAGCCGGGATTCAGCTCCCGAGTAAGCAATGCATTTCAATGATAAGTCAGTAGAAACAATAACGAAATAATGTGACTATAACGCCTCACACTATCCGGCAAAATTCTGGTAATAAAATCATGTGCGGGTCTTGTATTCAGAACTCCCACGTGGCACTCATGTTCACGATTGAACCCTTGATAACGCATCAGCGTGCTATGGGGAGGTGGAGTATGGTGTGGAGCATTGGGGCGTGGTGGAGGAGTCTCAGATTTACATGGATCAATCCTCTCACTCCAATGAATTCTAAACCCATTTTAAAGGTGTGCAAGTCTCACTCGCTTAATTCATTTCTATTACGTGCTTGCTTGCTTGAAACGAAAAAGACGATATTCATGAAACTTTTCATGCAAGTATAATTAATTACATATAACAACGCATGTAGTGCCATATTTTTTGTTACTACTTTACTTCCAGTTTAACCGGAAATACCCTCAACTTATTTAATTGAAATAGGACACCTTGTATATTTTCTCAGAATTTAAAAGTACTTGTTAGTCCTAATTCATGCATACCAAGTTTGGTAGAAAAACTTTTTAAAACAAGAAGTAAATGACTTTAGAGTAAAGATTAGGTAAATTTATTTACTATGTCCAATGAGATAGATAGATATAATAATAAGTAATAAGCACGGTGGTGAAATTAAAGTCATTCAACTCAAGCGGCCATGTGTTCTAACATAAAAAAGAAGGGAAGATACGATCCTTCAGATTTATATCGGGCCAGATGAAACAATAAAACTGCAGAGGTAATGACATTTTGATGAGTACGACTACTGAATGCCAGCCCTGCAATAGACTCGCAAAAATACCAGTTCTTGATCACACAACCTTATTAAAAAAAAACTAATTATTTAACTTCCGCTGCCATCGTAACACAAAACTGAAATGCTTCCTAACTTGGCATCTGAGTATTATTTTATACCCGTTTCCCAGACAACTTAAAAATATTCATATAAATATTCTTAAATGATAACTGAGTCTGTGTTTATAGTACGTAACGGTTTTTCGGTGGTAAGTACTAGGTAACTTAAATACACACAGCCAAAATTTCGCATACTTAGACGTAGTCCGGGGCAATAAAAGCAGCCTACGAGATATAGGTACAGCACAACCAAAAATTTTAGGGCCCCTTTTTATTACAAAAATGGAACGCTGCAATGGT